GATCTAGCAAGGAAATTTTTCACATGGTCATCTCAGTTAAAATATTTGAAAGACATCAAAATTCCTAGATTGCTTCCCAAAATAGACGAAAGTACCACTCTGCATGTATTTTCGGACGCAAGCAAGGACGCGTATGCGACCTGCATTTTCCTTAGACACAGCGGTGAGAGTGAGAGTGGAGTCACTTGTCAATTGATACAATCTAAAGCGAGAGTTGCTCCGCTAAAAGCACTCACCATACCTCGACTAGAGATACTCGCTTGCACTATTGGAGCCAGGCTCTCTCATACAATAAGAGAAGACTTGAAATTAAAAGAGGTTCCAGTTTTTTACTGGACGGATTCCACAAATGCTCTCTTTTGGATAAAACAGAAAGAAAATTGGTCCACTTTTGTAGCCAATCGAGTAAATGAGATTCGAAAATTGAGTAACCCAGATCACTGGCATCACATTCCCGGAAAGTTTAATCCTTCGGATTTGCCATCACGCGGTTGCTCTGCAAAAGAATTGAGGAAATCCGAATGGTGGAAAGGACCAGATTGGATTTATCGACCTCCAGAAGAGTGGCCTATTGCAGATGGAGAACATCCTGACTTCGATATAGTAAATGGAGAGAGAAAACGAACTGTGGTTTCAGCCAGCAATAACACGAATACAGATAAATTTAACCTTTTTGACAATATTTCAAAATTCGAAAAGATCATAAAGGTCGTATCTTGGATCTTTAGATTCATTAAAAAATGCTACAACACCACCATCTGAAAGAACTCATGGGAGAATTTCAGTCGAAGAACTAAAAGGAGCTGAAACAGTGGTTTTCCGACTCATCCAACGAGAATCTTTCGAAGGATTGAAAGATAAAAGAATACGTGCTCTAGAACCTATCATGGACTCCAATGGCCTTATAAAAGTGAAGACACGTATCTTTCAGAGAGACGATGATGCTGACTTTCGTTACCCAGTTTTACTTCCCTCAGAACATCCATTAGTCTTAAAACTGATCAAATCTGAACATGAAAGGCTAAGTCACGCTGGAGTACAATTCGTTATGTGCGCTTTGCGTGAAAAATATTGGATCATAAAGAGTAGGAAGACCGTACGCAAGGTTATCCAAAACTGTGTACGATGTCGAAGGTTCGACTCTGATTCATATAAGATTCCTCAAGCGCCACTACCTGAAGACAGAATAAGAGATGCTTTAATTTTTGAGATTATTGGTGTTGATCTGACGGGTCCCTTAATTTTAAAAGGAGGCCAAAAAACATGGATCGTCATTTTTACTTGCGCAATATATAGAGCAGTTCACTTAGAGCTAGTCTCATCTCTATCAACTGAAAGTTTCCTGCACGCGTTCAGGCGATTCATCGCTCGAAGGGGTAGACCTGTCACTGTATACTCTGACAATGGAACCAATTTTGTTGGATCAAATAATTTGTTTAAGACCATAGATTGGAATTCTATCTTAGAAAATGCAACAGTTAAGAAAATTGAATGGAAATTTATTCCCCCTTCCTCGCCATGGTGGGGAGGGTGGTGGGAAAGATTAATTGGAGTACTAAAGAGAATTCTTCGAAAGGTACTAGGAAAATCTTCTCTGAACTACGAAGAATTGTTGACAATCATTTGTGACTGCGAGAGCATTATGAACAACCGTCCTCTCACGTATTTGTCAGAAGACGTAAAGGATTTAAGAGCTCTCACCCCAGCAATGTTTCTAACAGAAATTCCAGAGACTGGAGTTCCTGAATTAGATCTTTTGGATTCTAAATCCATCAATAAAAGATACCTTTACAGAGCCAAATTGAGAAAAGATTTACGAAAAAGATTTCGATCAGAATATTTAGGGCAACTAAAACAAAGCTCAAAATTCATCCGCGAACCATCTTCTGTGAAAGTTGGTGATCTTGTAATTGTGTCCAACAACGAAAAAAGGATAAACTGGCCCTTAGCTAGAATCGTGGAAATTTTTCCATCCCACGACGGACACATTAGATTAGTGAAACTGAAAACTGCACAAGGGGAGATTATAAGACCTACTAAGAACCTCATACCTCTTGAACTCAACTTTACACCTGAGTCGGATATGCAAGTGAGGTACAGAACTCGACGTATGACGAAATCTCAAAAGACTTGAACTACAGGTCAGTTGAGGTCCATCCTCTGTTGATACTGGACCTCAAGGTGGGAGTGTCGCGTTTGCTTACTAGAACTTTACTTCCACGAACGCCCTCTGGCGAAAGAGACTAAAAGTAGTCAGTTGAACGGCTGACGCGTCTAACAGATGTATAACGATAGACCGTCTCCGTATAAATTATGCTTGTAATCATTATAACTTGTAAATATTTTGTAGATATCTTTCATACGAATTAAAATTTCTTAAAAAGTTTATAGCTGTGTTTCGAAGTGAATCAAAGTTCATCATAGAGACGGATACCTACAAGAAGGAAAAGCAGGCAGTTCAGGGCAGCCCTATTTAGAAGGTAAGTGAACTTTCACTTATCTATTTAATGATTAAAAAATTTTAATAGTACAAAGTTGATAAAATTTTTAACAGTATCATAGACGAGCCTAACGCCTCGGGACTGCCGCAATGGATGACTTCAAACGTTACACGAACGCCCACCTCCCTTCACTGGGGGAAAACGACAAACTACGTCACACGCGCCGCAATGCCACACTCCAGAGTGCACAACGGACCCAGATAGGCCAGCACCTACTAACAGAAGTGTAACTTTCTGTTAGAAGGTGTTGGATAAGCACACCTATGCTCTGGAGCTGCAGCTCACTAAAACAATGATCAATCACATCAACACACAAGGCTTGCAACCACGCCCACAAAACGGGCTCAAAAATAAGTCTCACCTCTTCAAATCTCATTAATTCTTTGAAGACCAAAACGCCTCAGACGACCCTTCATTCAAACGAGCACAACAGCCCGAAATTGAAGTTCTTTTTTTCCCTCCCCCTAAGGTTTGCAGTAGCAGGCTCAGTTTTCCCAAATGCTTTGTATCATTTTATTGCAGACAGCTTTCCTAAAGGATTTATTTGCGGTTTCTTATCTTTATTTGTTAGAAACTCACTAATTAAACTCTATACCCAACCCGTGAACTAAATCACACTTTGGGGACTGATACAAAGCATCAGTCAGTGTCTCCCTAAGATGACAATTTTACACTCCTGCTGGGCTCAAGGATCCCACAACCAGCAATTTTTAGGCTTCCTCTTTCCCACCGCTACACACGGGCCAGTCAGAACCACCGTCCCGGCCGGACCGAGACCACGGTAGGGTGGGCATGAGAACTTGGAGTGATGACTGGCCGTTCATTATGGCTACCTGCCAGCATTACACGGGATGCCCCTCTCCTTAGGCTTTACACGGAATACCAAGGACGCAGTGACCAGGTGGATGAGGACTTACACCTCCCGGCCATGAAGAGTGAGTATAGACCCACCCCATGGACCATCGGGAACCGCTAAGTTCAAAATTTTATACCCCCGTGGCCGAGACTGCCTAGGTACAAATCCTAGCCAGTACTTCGCAGAGTACTCTACGTCGACCTCCGGGGGTATTTGTTAGAAAGAAGAAAGGATGTGATTTTAAATTTTCACACCTTTTTGCGCATTAATGGCTAGGGAGGGGAAGAAACTGCTATGAATCTCGAAAGGCATTTCGGGTGCTTTGGTATTTATAGCATAGAGGTTAGCGAAGGCTTTGGTTTAACAATTCCGACGGCCAACCAAACACGGGTACCACAAAGTAGTTCAAATATCGAAGACTGTCTCGGCATATCTTTTGTGATAGCGTGGCAGTATTTAACTGCCACATAGGGGATCCATGATCGAATCCTAAGGTTGTTTAACGTCTTCAAAGACATCGGGATGCCGCACTTCTCATCAGTGCTGATAAACAGCGACACGAGAAAATAGAAAAGCACTAGCGAATTTTACGCGTCTGGAACCGCCATACTCTCAAAGACCCTCAACGTATTTATTGAAGCCGATTGTTAACAGCTTCTTTCATCAGCTCAACAATTACTGAAACTGCATCAGGTGGTTTCAAAGGAGCCCGAAATAGAGTTTACCGAAAGCCCCATTTTTTTGCTGGAATTTTCATTGAACGTGAGACATTTTGCTCGAGGTTTTGCCCTGCTGGATATATATCGTTTGCTTTGTCCAATTTTGAAATCCTCTCTCTGAAAATTTCTAGAACGTTTCTTTAAAGAGAGTTGACTTTTTGGTCTTTTTGCTGAGTTTTTGCACTTGCAGTTTGCCCTGATAATAGCATGCAAATCCATAAACACACTAAAAATCGCTCAATGCATATTCAATAAGAGGCTGGAAATTCCTTTGTTACAATACAATGGAAATAAATGGTAGGAAATTTTATACTAAGTGTTGTCTAGTCTAACAACATGTTTCATTGACTAATTGCTGAAATATTCTACAGTTTTCGAGGACTGGCACATATTTTCATTTCTAGACACACGATTATCGCCGATGTAATATTTCAGTTAGTAATGCAAATATTTATAAAAATTATGGATTAGATAGAGCATAAATTTATTACATTAATCAAATATTATAAAAAAGAGATAAAAGTTTTAATCATACATTATATTTGCACTACAATGCTATGGAATTTACATAAAAATTAAAGATCTTCTCTATCAAGATGTGGCAACGCCAATTTATGAACGTGCGAGCTGGAGCAGGGAAAGCTTTCTTATGTATTTCAACATTTGGGAACTTATCGCACATTTAAAAAAAGTGGGGTATTTTTGGGGAGGGGGAGGTGCTGTCTTTAATGCGAAAGTACCGATTTACACATATAATTCGGTACTTTTGGGCTTCAGGCTATAAGAGTTATGTAGAATTAAGTAGAGTTATAAGAGTAATTAACTATAAGAGTTTCAAAACTTTAGCCTATAATTGTTTTGTAGATAAAAGATATATGAATACATCTGCAATAAGAAGCATGCAATTTATATGACCTCTTTTTGTAGCAGGTATTCTTTTCTGTGCTACCATAATTTGGGCAGGTGACCCTTGCCCACCAAAGGCAGAGCTACCTTTCTGTACTTGTACTCGCACATTAATAAAGGAGGCGTCTCCCGAGTATAATATGATGCTTGGAAAATGGCCGCAGACTGAGATGACCACAAAATCTACGCTATTTTTGACGACAACTGAAATTCCAACACAGTTTCCAGAAAAACTGAAGAATGGATCATTTTACACAGTAGTACAATGTAAAGTACCTAAGATTTTGACTGTCTTAGAAGAAACCGTTCCATCGGCTCTGAACAGAAAACTGGTGGATAAATTAATCCTCAAGGAAGTTCCCCCGAGCAAAGAACATACTTTGGCCAGATTACCAAACAATTGGCTTAAAAACGTGCGAATCAAGCAGTTTGAGGTGAGTACTTTGAAATTCTGTTGTCTTCTGCTTAAAACTGGAAACTCTAAAACATACTAAAATTAAGCTTTTTCCAAAAATGTAGTCTCTGAACTTTTTTAAGAAGTTAACTTCATAACACTTCTGATTTTATTTTTTATGTACAGGAATTAACTTCAAAATGTTGAAGTTAATGTTTGTAACACTCCACCATTTACTCAAACAAATATTTTGCTAAGTTAAGTTAAAACGTAAAGATGGAGCTAAAACGTTTCGTCATGTGCATATGGAATTTCCATTTATTTTAAATGCAGCCTTAATCGAACTCAGTGCATAGTCAAGACGTTAATAATATTAGCTTCGAAATAATGATCATGTGCGATAGTTCGATGTGCAACATTGGCTTCACCTCTAACCTGAAAAACAATGTGTGTGATGAGTGTGCTGCTTAAAAACGGTGTTTCAACTGCAAAATTTAAGCTAAAATCCACTTTTCAATCATTCGTCCAGTTGTTTCATGAGGTCAGATGTATCAGTAGCGTTTTATTAACTTGATATTGCATTACCCAAATAGATTTTCCCAACCTTAATAGAAGTCTGTGTTCCCGTTGTTCTCCCTGCATACAAAACGAAATTTGCTCCATATACGGCAAGCATCTTAGTACCGTTCAAACTGTCGCTTTTGGTTGGTAAAGAGCATATAGAAACATGTTTACTTATTGAAGATGCTTGGGGTTGAAACATTATTTTCAGGCAGCACATTATCAAACGTGCTTGTCATTTGATGGAGACGAGCTAGTGCTATACATCACGATAGTGCACGTGATTTTTTCTCGCTGTGTGATGGCACAAATCTAATTCTATCCTGTAACATTCGATAAGATGCATTTGAAAATAGATGGTTTATTAAAGGAAAAATTTTGGGAAAAATTTTAATGCCATTGACACCTTTTCATTTGACCAAACTATACATTGTTACAAGCTACAGGTTCGCGGATGTGTCTTCAAATATTCACTGGGTGAGCAGAGAAAAGAAAATTTATTATAAATAATAATGACACATAGCAAATTAAATAACAACAAATAGCTCAGGGCAAATATTAAACAGTTCCTCCTCAACACATTATCAGGTTCAATGTTTCTTCTAACCTTCTTCGGAAACATACAATGACCTGACTAGAACAGAGAGCTTACTAAAGCTATGTTCACTAATTGTAGTAAGTAGACAGGATACTAACGAAGGGTATACAAAACCCTTTATTTTTTTTTCTTTATATACAATGACTTCCGTACTTTCGGAATACAATGACCCTCCACTCGGGGTCTAACTTAAAAGATATCAAAATAAAACTAAACTCTAATTTAACTTTAGAATAAGATTGGCCTTATAATAACAGGAAGCGTATGTAGCACAGAGACTGTGAACACTACAATACGTTTAATTTATCAAGAGGATTAAAACCTCTGGCCTGGAAGGCAAAGTAGCAACTGCGTAACTTCTAAGGTAAGCGGCCTGCTTCGAACTCACGGCTTCCTCTCTTCTGCTTGGCAAAAAGGCCACACTTAAATACTTGGCGTTCGCCAGACAAACTTTGCATAAACTCCTTCACGCTTATAATTCTGGCCGGAAGTAGAAAATAAGAAGTGATAGTAAAGATTTAAAATAAAATAAACGTTAGTAAAACTTAAGATCCTTACATACTTCCCGCCAGAGTTAATTAGTTTGAAACTGAGGTCTAAACGACCTTGTTGAAAACTTTTAGCTCTAGAAACTAACGCGAGGCCAACCTTTTACAATCATAACTTAGCTAGAAACTAGAAAATTTTAAAAGAAAGAAATTTGTTACAATAGCAGCTCCCGGAATATACAACAATCTTTTTTCTTTTTCATCTGTACTGCATCAAAACAGGAGCTTTATTCAATTCTGGTTCCTTCCAGAGATCTGGAAGGAAAACTAGTTTAATGAAATGTTACAGAATGACATTGCAAATAACATATAGAATATACTTTTCTTAACATTCTTATTTCATTCATGACTATTTCAATTATCTCTCCCCGTGCTCTCTGACATGTGTTGTAAAAACACCAAACACGAATGTGTTTCTGTCTATGTGTTCAACACTTCCTCCTACAATCAAAACACTAACGTGTTAAAATTCAACATACGAGACCTCTTAACACACCCTAATTTCAACTCTAGACCCTGAGGTACTATTCTGAAAGTGGCTAACTCTAAAGTGTAGCGTCAGAGAGCCTAACTACATCATTCAACCTTTAACACATATTCAGCATGATTTAATCTTTACAGTCACACGAATAACAAATTTTTTAACATTACTTTCACTTTTACCATATCACGGTATTTCTAAGCATTCAAAATAACAGTTCACATGTATACAAGAACATATCAAGATGCCGTTAATTTTACACATTTGAAAACATACATTAGTAGTACATTGTTAACTTCTATTCTTTTCAAAGCAAGTGCCAATTCTTCTACATTGAAATAATACTACATTTCAAAAAGTCTTTCAGACTAAAACTTCTTTCTTGTTAGAATGTTTTAAATAAAATTTATACAATAACTTTTTACAATATTTAAGTCTTTATACAACGCTATTATACATCAACTTTAGTTTACGCGCGAGTAATTGAAAAACATAATAAGAAAATCGGTCACAACTCATTTCTCGCCCTTTTGGCGATAAAGGTAGACCTCGCATGAGGTAAAACTTCTTGAAATCTCCCACTTGCAGTAAGAATGAAAGATTAACTTAAGTTTGTAAAGTAACATAAAATTTTACTTATCTTTAGTAATATTCAGACATCCTTTTCTGGGCCTAATCTTTAAAGGTGCTGCAGACCGTAGCTTGGTTGATCCTCCTTCTTGTACGGGCTCGCCCTTCAGTGCTTTCCTCTGGAAGCTTCCGTTTTTCACCACTACGGCCACCCTTGAACATCCTTCTGTCCTCTGCTTGTGGTCTTGGCCGTTTGAAGGCAGCTGGTCTTGGTGGAACCGGGAACTTCTGTCGTGATCCTGCTTGGACCTCGTTGTTGGCCGTTCAAATTTTTCTGTGTACTTTTTCCTCCGCCGCTGATGGCGCTTCCGCAGTTCGGCGGACGACTTTTGTTGCGGAGAGTTCTGTCGGATGAGTCAATCTTCCGTTTCACAGCGGGTTATAGTTGCCGTCCTTTTCTCCGGTCTTTTCCACATACGTCGTCCTTCTCCCTTCTTCATTCTGGGGGTGTTCGTGAACTCTGTTTTTTGGACGGTGGAACGGCTTCTTTTTCTTTGTACCTTCAATTTTTCCGCGGGGCAATTTTCTTTTCACTTGCTTCTGTCTCTCATTGGCTTGCCCTTGTACTTGTCGTTTTCCCACCTCTGGAACTTGTACCTGCGGTGTCTGCCGTACCGCAGTATCCATATTTGCGGAACAGGTTTCACCATTTCTTGCCTTTAACACTACAACAGCGTGAGTTATTTTTTCTATAACATATGGTCCTTCAAAGCGTGGAAAAAATTTGGCAGTTTTATCTTCTGGTGCTGAAGAATGTGAATGCTTAATTTTTAGTACAATTCATCCCATACTTTATAAGTTTACTCCCCGTCGTTTACATTCATGTCATAATACAATTTTTGTTTTCTTTGTGCTACTTCTGTATTCTTCTTTGCTTCTTTAATTAGTTTTTCTATATAGCCCATTTTAAATTCTGGGGCTCTTTGTTGCAACATAAAATAGTTTATCTAACGGTGTTTATAACCTTTCTGCCTAGAAATAACTCAGCAGGAGTTTGCCCGTTGTATCATGTTTTGCGGTCCTAAGGGCGAAAGCAAATTCATTGACATAGTTATCCCAGCTTTTATGAAAATTTTAACATAACTACGGATAATTTTCACTATATTTCGTTGACCCGTTCCGCTATATTTGATTGCGGCCGATACGGGACCATTTTTAAATGACGTATGCCCAGTTTTTGGCACATGTCTTCAAATATATTACTTACAAATTGAGGACCATTGTCCGATATAACTTTAGGGGCGCCCCGTATTTTAAAATATATTTATTTAAAATAGAATCGGTAAACTAATTTCGCGGAGGCTCGTTTTAAGGGAAACAATTTCGGTCCATTTACTAAATGATCAACTATAACAAGGAGATAGCGACTTTTGTTTAACTGACTTTTTGGGAAAGGGCCCAATAAATCGATGCCGATTATTTCATTTGGAAATTCGGATTTAATACTATTTAGAAACCCGGCCGGGCGGAAATTAATATAAATTAACGGCTTGACATGTTGGGCAGGACTGGACATACGGCCCTTGTTAACTTTTGCAGTTCAGGAAAGTAGACTGCCTCGCGTACGCGTTGAGTAGTTTTTTCGAATACCAGCATGAGAAGCTAAAGGGCTGTCATGGAGCTCTTGCAAGGATATTTAATCTAAGACTAGCTGGGATAACAGGTCGAAATTCGTTGTTGGAATTCGTAGTTTTTGTATAAAATAATAGACCATCTATTAGTTCGTAATGGGCCGCCCTATTTCTTATCGCCACAATATCTTGGTGGCTAAAATTTTCAGGATCCTTCAAATACTCATAAATACTTCCAAACTCAGGATCCTTACCCAGTTCGGTTATTACAGTTTCTCGGGAATTTATTGTACACGCTGTCAGCATTGCAACTTTTACGGTATTAACCTGTTCGTCTAATTTAATTCGTGACAGGGCATCTGCTACGATATTTTCCTTTCCGGGGTATGCTTGATTACCAGATTATATTCTTGCAGCTTGAGTGCCCATCTTATTAACCTTGGGGATAAATTTTTTCCAGAGTACAATCTAGTTACCGCCGCATGATCAGAATATACTGTTATCGGCGCCTTTCCAAAAATAGACTCGGAACTTTTGCACTGCTAACAGAACTGGAAGTGCCTCTCTCTCGGTCGCGGAATAGTTTCTTTGTGTTTGATTTAAAGTTCGGCTAAAAAATGCCACTGGCTGCTGATTTGCGAAAGTACCGCT